AGCTGAAATAATTTCATCTTAGGAACTTTAATTTCCTACATCACACTTAACAGCTAGTATTCATATTTTTTATAAAATGTTCACGTTAACATTTTAACAAATGTGCATACCCATCAGAAATCTAAAGGTATTAGAACATACTGAGTCCTTCACAGAGTTATGCTCTCTTCATGTATATTAATAGTCTCAGTAGATCTGCTAAAAACTGAATTTCTCCATCTTCCTCCGATTTGGATGGCTGGACTGGTTCCATCTGAAAACACGTTCTTCCTTTCCCTGGAAGCGGTTTGGTTCCCCCATGCTTAGTAAGTTCAGTAAACCCTGAAAAACCATCAGAACTCCAAGGACGGGAGCCAGAATGGATAGAAACCACGGAATCCACTGTTGTTTGATATTCAGACAGAAATACAAAAGCCAAAATGAAGTAAGGAAAAGTATAGTCAGGATCAGTGTTCACATAAAAATTCCACAGTGCCTGGAGCTCAGGGTAGTACAGTCAGTAGTTATGTTGGTAATAATATCTAGTCATACTATTGATATATTACTAGCCCCTTCCTCACAATAATTAATTTGATACAGATTCCCAGAGAAACTTGCTCCACATTGATTTTCCATATTACAATTTTATTCTCACATTATTCAGAGGAATGTGTAGGTAGTAGGTTAAATTATATTATTATTCTGTATTGAATGGGAGACAGGTGGGACATGGAAAAGATGACAAGTATTATTGAAATGAACAAATGTTCATTTTGTTAAATTTATCGTGGAATCTTGGGTCACAAGAACTTCATCCTTATGGTTCTTTTGCTGAGCATGTGGAGATGATGTTTTAAACACCAAAAACGTTCAGGAGTTTGGGTTGTTGTGGGACTTAACGTGGTGTACCTTCAGCTGTCCTGTCTTGCAGGGAAGATTAGCTCATGGTCTTTGTATTGAAATGCATCTTCGAGAAAATCCCGGAGTGGGCACCCGTTTGGCCTATGTTTTGGTATTAACGTATTTACCTGTGGTCAGACTCCAAGAATCCATTCATTTAGTAAAGTGTCAAAAATCCAGAAGAGCCCATGAACTTATGAAGACCTGTGATTAGCTGCTTTGGAGTGGTAGGAGTAGAATGCTTTATCCAGAACACCCTGACTGTGAATGGAGGTATATTTCTTCCCATGTAACAACTGTCAACTTCCACATCCACGTGATCGCATTAATTAATTTACTCACTCAGTTACTCCACAAATACTTCCAAATGGCTACCCTGTGCTAGATACTTTGCTAGGCACTGGGGATTCAGAGATAGAATCCATACCAGTCTGTGCCCTCTGGTTGCTTCCAATCAAGAGGGGAAGAAAGATAAGTTGTAATGCTGTATGAACACTATAATAATGGTCTGCAAAACATACGGTCAGATAAGGTTTATGGAACCGTGTGTCAGTGTTTAATCTAATCATTATTTTTGGAAAATACCAGTATTTTATGTCAGCACACACGCAGTATAACATAGAAGCATAAAATGTCTTCTCATACTACCTAATAAGTCAGGATGCAGTTTTTGATTTTGATATGAATTTTTCACTCCCATGGCCATGATAAATGTAGTTTACCAAGAAATTTCTATGTCCTTTCTCAAAACAAGTAAGGATATAGACATATCTTTAAAATATAGATACTTGCTTCAATTGTTTCCCGATACAAGTTCAGTTTAGCAACAATACTTAGTTCCAGTTTTTTGTTTTTTTTGTTTGTTTGGTTTTTTTTAGTTCATCATTTTAATTAAATTTAGTCTTCCTTCAACCTTTCAGCCTTATTAGTAACTATTACTTTTCAGGAACCTAAAGGATGATATCTTTAAATGATTTTTTAAGAACCTCCCTGCTAATCATCATTAGCCTTACACACAGCAGATATTCTATTTCTATATAATTAGAAGGACCAAACATGAAGTTTTTCAGCAGCCAAAATTCCTCAGAAGCCTGTAGAACTTTTATCCATAGGTCTCTTTAAAATTAGACCCATGGCTTAAAGCCAAGTAATATAGTTTGGGGGGGGGTTGGTAGTTTGGTCAAAATATTACCTACTGAAAAATATAAATGACAGCATTTTGCTTGCAATCCCAGAGTAAGGTTTTGCATATCCGTTTTGAATAACTTTAGTGAAGTTAAGTGATTTGAAATTGAATGCAGTGGGGTAAGCTGGTGCGACAGCTCAAAGCTATGGCAGGTCAAGGAAATCATGGAAGTGGAGTCATCCTGGCTTTCAATACATTTCATTGTAGAAACGCCGGCACCATTGGACTCAGAGCATGGCTGCATCTTGTTATATGTATAGAAGTTTTAAAATCAATTTGATTTTCACTGGTATGATTCTCTAGTGTACTTAATATGCTATGGACGGATTTCTGAGAATAGTAAGAAGCAGTTACACTTCTCATGAATATATAGCGAATGAGGCACTCTGATTTATTATTCCATTCAATCTTAGAACATGCTTATGATTTAAAAAA